ACCCCGCGCGGGCCCGGCCCACGGCTGCCCCGCGTGTGCGAGGCACGCTGGCCGGCGGCTGCCGCACACCCACTGCACTGGGCCCCGGCCGGACTCGGGCCGAGCCCGCCTGGGACAGCGTTTCAAGTTGGGGGGGGGAGTGGAGTTGGGGTGAAACCAGCCCTGATCCTCCTGTCGCTGCACACGTTAATGCCCAGAACGGTGGCAGCGCGGTCCCCGCGACGGACCGAGGCGCACCGCAATCCCGGTGGCCAGGGGTCCGAGCGGCCCCCATCCGCCCGAGCTGCGACCGCTTAGGCCAAGACAGGAAAAGTCTTGGCGCACCGTTGTGTATCCCCCCGCACCGCTTCAGCGGAACAGCCCTGGAAACTTCCTGCAGTTCAAGACACTTCGGTTTTCACTCCTTTTGGTGCAGAAACTTGGAAAGAGTAGGTGCACTTACACCAGACAGCATGGTCCCTGGTTACAGAAATGCTAAAATTTAAACCCAAGAGTCAATTTGCTTTTGATTTTTTTTTCGCAGAAACCTGGAAAAAGCACACGTTTTATGATCGTCATCTTTAATTGATTATACACACGTGTGAGTTTGACTTTTCCAGGAGGAACACTGTACTTTTACTCTCCCGCACTTCATTTGACGTGTAATTAGTTAAAACAAACCCCCAGATTCCTTAATCTTGAAAATTATAGATAAATAAAATTCGTATGGAATGCAAAATAAAACATGTAAGTAGGATATAACTGCTTTTCAGCTAAGTTCGAGGGCTTAGCGCCGATCGTGGGGGTGAAATAATTGTTTTTGAATGAACGGCCTGGAAATCAAAGGCCACAAGATTTAGAGAACACACGTGCCCCAGGTCTCGCGCTGCCGACCAGGAGCCTCTGTCGTCAACGCGCAGTTCCCGAGGTCGGCCGGGGGGTTCCCTCGGCGTCCCGTTCCTTCGACTAGCAGAGGGGGCAGGAAGCAGGTGGGTGGGAGCGCGCGGGCGCGGGGCGGGGGCGTCGCGAGCCTCGGCCGCAGATGCTGTGACGCCGCACGGGGCAGGGCAGTGGCGACCTCGGGAACGCCGAGGACCGCCTCGATGTGGGGCGCCCGAGCCCGCGC